CAACGGAAAGAACCGTGTGGTGTTTAATTGCTCATTCACCTATAGCAGGGGTCTGCAACCTTTAACACCCAAAGAGCCACTTGGACCTGGTTTCCACGCAAAAGAAAACACTGGGAGCCGCAAATACTTTTTGAAACTGTATATATTATTTTGTTTTTTTACCTTTATGCTTTGTGTGAACAACTAAAGTAAGTAAGTAAAGTTTATTTATCAAGCGCTTTTCACAGACAGGCAGTTACAAAGCGCTGTACACAAATATTAAAATAAACAATACAATCAATAGACATTATACACAATGTAAAAGATCAAATGTAAATAATGTAAAGAATATAAAATACGTAGATCAACAAAAGGCTTGTTTGAACAGAAAAGTTTTTAACTGCTTTTTAAAAGAATCCACAGATCAACTAAGGTGTGTTGCTTATGAAATCCATGAAGTGCTACAGAGAAAATTACATTTTATTCATGTAATTAACACATTTTGAACTCATAAAGAAATATAACAAAAGGAAAGACACCCAGCTGAACTAAAATGATCCATGTAGCAAACAAAAACTGTTGTGAGCCGCCACCCTTATATCGCCTTTGGGCTTTTGGAGCCTTGATCTGACTTTTAAAAAATAATTGGAAAAAAAAGCACAATGCTGCTAAAACAAATAGATATTTGCAAAATTCTGCCTAAATATGTATTTTACCTGGTTAATGTGTGTGGCGGGGCGTGGTCTGCAGTGCCGCTGTATGGGAGTCGGACGCACCTCAGCGGCACCCGCAATCACGTCTCGCCACCTTAAAGTCTGTGCTCTCTCTGCTGTTGTGTTGTCAGGCTGTGAGCTGCAAAGCTACAGCTGGCTGTATGCGTACAGCAACCGTGTGTGAAAAGTGGTCAATAAAGAGATGCTGAAAAGAGTGTTCATGCAAACATTGTCGGGTCTGCCGTGGTATGTTTACAATGGGACTTCTGGTCCCAAACCTCTGTGCGCAGCGTCTGCAAATTGGGGCTGTACGAAGTCACTTTCATCTTCACGCAGGACTGTAAGCTGTCATCTGTGAGGCGTGAGCGGTGTTTGTTTTTAACATAGTTCACGGTGGAGAACAGCTGCCGACATAATGTGGATCCGAAGATCCATATTTGGCCTACCTGGGGTCGAAAGTCTCGATAAATGCATGCCGTTTCAGCGGGTACACCGGCTTCCGCGAGTGTGACGCTTATTTTGAGCGATGAAAAAAACAAGATATAATTTTATTTTTATATTTCAAAATCACAACAATCTTCCAATTTAGAACTACAAGTTAAAAAAATAACTAAACATAAAAAAAAAAAAACTTCAGCTAAATACTTCTAATTTAATTTCCCAAACCACCCGGAGCCGCAAAATAAAGACTAAAGAGCCGCATGCGGCTCCGGAGCTGCGGGTTGCCGACCCCTGACCTATAGGGGTCAGAACCTCAACGAGCTGCTTTTACCAGGCCCGAACCTGGGGGCCTCTCTTCTTGGTGTGCTGCTACGCTTCAGAGAATGCTCCATCGCAGTTAGCAGTGACATCAAGGGGATGTTCCACCAGGTGAGGCTACTGCCCGATGACCGGCCACTACTACGTTTCATCTGGCGCGATCTGCAAAGAGACACCCATCCCAAGGTGTAGAATGGCAGGTGCTCCCCTTTGGGACAACATGCTCACCATGCTGTGCAATTTATGCACTCCAGCGACACGTCCATGACCACAGTGACCAGGGAGATGACGTGCGTGACTCCATTGAGAAGAATTTTTATGTTGACAACTGGTTACAGAGCTTCTCTTCTCCAGATGTGGCAACAAAGGTTGTGGACAAACTACGGTCACTATTATAGGAGGGAGGATTTGAGCTAAGACAGTGGGCCAGCAGCACCCCAGATCTCATCAGCCATCTACCAAAGGAAATAAGATCGGAGAGCAGCGTACAGTGGCTGAATCAAACTGATATGGACCCTCAAGAATCTGCTCTAGGTCTGCGCTGGATGTGCTGCTCTGACACTCTGCACTACAATGCAGTTGGAGAGGAATCCTCCTACCATGAGAAACCTCTACCGGGTTCTGGCGAGTCAGTATGACCCACTAGGGTTTCTCGTCCCCTTCACAACGAGGGCGAGTACTAGTCCAGCAGTTGTGGGACAAAAAGCGTGAGTGGGATGACCCCCTGTTACCAAGTGACCTGCTCTGCATGGAACGAATGGGAAGGTGAGCTGCAACATCTGGACAACATCAGTCTACAACGTTGTTATGTGAGCCCAGAGCTGGACAAATCCTACAGTAGACGTGAGTTGCACATCTTCTGCGATGCATCTCCACAGGCATATGGAAGTGTTGCCTACCTACGGACGGAAGATGCTGCTGGAAAGGTGGAAGTTGCTTTCCTGACTGCCTGCTCTAGGGTGGCTCCTAAACGGCAGATCTCCATGCCACTTTTGGAACTATGTGCAGCCTTGACTGGAGCTCAACTCGCTAGCCTGCTGACCAAAGAACTCACCCTACCACTATGCAGAGTGGTGTTATGGACAGACTCCACCACTGTCCTAACATGGATCCAGTCAGAGTCCTGTCATTTCAAGGTGTTCGTTGGAACTCGGATAGCTGAGATCCAGGAACTGACAGACAGACAGTCTTGGCGTTATGTGACAACATGTGACAATCTGGCAGATGATCTAACTAGGGGTAAAAGGCTACAAGACCTCACAGTCCAGTCCCGTTGGGCATGTGGGCCCCTGTTTCTGCATCTACATCGAGACCAGTGGCCAGAGCACCCAGCCACACCATGTACAGACTTTGCTGAGGAGCAGCGTAAACCAATAACTTGCTTAGCTGTGTCTACTGCCTGATGCACAGCAGTTTACCAGTTTTAGCGAGCTTTTGGAAGAAACAGCCAGGTGCCTTCACGGGGCAGCTGGTGACAATCTCACATCAGAGAACTACAAGGAGGCTGAGCTTATTCTGCTGAGAGCTCCTCAGTTGTATTGGACCCTAAACATCCAGTCACCAGACTACTCATCCGACAGGCTGACAGTGATTTGAAACACCCAGGAGCAGAGAGATTGTTTGCAGATTTGAGAAGGAAATACTGGATTCTTCGCAGCCATGAAGTCATAAGAAGTGAACAGCGCTCCTGCCCTGAGTGCTAAAAATGGAGCCAAAGATGGCTGACCTTCCCCTTGCACGCCTACGATTACATCAGCCAGCCTTCTTCTCAACAGGCATCGGCTGCTTTGGGCCACTGCAGGTGAAGGTTGGTCGGTGTTGTGAAATCTGTTTATGTTGTCCTAGTAAGGCTACCATGAGGGCAGCCACTAGAGGTCGCTAGGAGACCGGTGTGTATATGTGTTTTCCAGAAATTGGTGTAGCCACGTACTCTGCTGCTACAATTCAATAAAAATTGGTTCGTGCTTGAGAACCCTGCGTCTTATTGCCTCCGAACATGACAGTCGGAGAAATGAAAAACGCTGGGGCCTGCTCTTCAAATGCTTGACTACTCGTGCCATTCATATTGAGGTGCTGTCTAGCATCAACACCGACTCATTTCTAATAGCATTAAGAAGATTTGTCTCTCGTCGTGGGAAACCAGCTGAGATACTGACATCCTCTGTTTGTAAATTTTCTATAAGCTAAGTTATCACTAAGCTAAGCGGGCTTAGCTAAGCTAAGTTCGCCTAGGCCAAACTGAGTTTGGTTTGAGTTGGTGATTTGTTATGTGTATTTGCCTTCTTTAGTTGGCATCATAAGTGAGTGGGGCGCAAGAGTTAAGTGATGGAAAGATGTTTATTTTCTTTGTTGCCAAATATGGTTCAGACTATAAGTAAAAGCCGCCAGCTTATTAGTAGGGCCTATAAGACAAGTATGCGGCTGTAATATGTTATATGGTGATTATTGTTGTCTATAATTTGATTGTAATTTGTGTTCTGTTTTTCCATTCTGTTTGTAGAACCACACACACATACCCAAACCCACGCTAAATCTGCCATTAAAGAGCTGAACGATCATCCCCTGTCCTCGTTATTTTCTGGAGGGTCATAGTGGCACTTGACCTGTGCACACCCTGCGATCACCACCGTAGAATTGAACCTCATATCAGAAATCATCATAACAATATACTGTATTTTGCAGACAGAGAGTTACAGGACTCTCTCCCAGACCACAGACTCATACTCATAATACAAGTCAGAGCTTTATAAAAAAAAGAAAAAAGAAAGTTGTGTTTTCAAAATTGGAGTTCAAGTTATTTTTACTTCCAATAGTGTTAACATACTACACTACGGAGCCCCGCAAGGGACATGGGAGAAAAATAAATTAAGATAAACTTTTGCGAGTTTGTTTTGCGAGATCTCGCAAAAGTTCATCTTAATTTTTGGTCATGAACAAGATTTTTTTTTAAATTTTCATTGTAAGTGGGCTAAAGCAGTTAATTAAAAGTAGTCTAACATAAATGTAAATGCTGTAATTTGATTATTTTAATAAACCATGTAATGGTTGGATGGATTCGATGCTGGCATGACCACAGTGCTCACGTCTGCTGTTGCTCACAGTGGTCCAAAGGATCGCTCAGGGAGTTTGCGTGTTCGCTCAGACACATGAAAAATTAGAGGGAACATTGGTTATAAGTGGAGATCAAGAGTGATTACTGTGTATAGGTCTATACATTGTTAAGGAAAATCCTGAGCACTGGCCCTGAGATGTGACTAATGTCTGCTGTAAGTCTTTGAACTTGAATAGAAACTAGCAGAGGGAGTTTGCTACTAAGTCAAGGGAGTGTCTGCCCTGTCACCCTGAGTGTAAGGTCCAGGAGGAGAAGGAGACGTACACAGGCCCGGTTTGACATAAAACTTCTAGAAGGGAAAAAAAAAAGAACTGGAATAGGGCTTCTGCTGCCACCTAGCGGCCTTACAAAAAATGGCTGTCCACCATAATGCCACTCGCCTTCAACTCTTGCAAAAACCTTTCCGATTTTATTCACCCTTTTTTTTTTGTCTGCAGGGAGCAAATAAATGTCTAGTTTGTGCCAGCCTGAAGGATGGCCCACACTGTGTCTCCATGTGTCCTGAGGGTGTTATGGGGCAGGAGGGAACCATCTTTAAATATCCAGACAAGGAGGGCAACTGTAAACCTTGCCACAACAACTGTACCCAGAGGTAAGTACAAGTGGAATGATGTAGTTAGACACACACAATTTGCTTCTTTAAACTGAACTGAACTTTAAACTGTATGTTGATTTTGTAGTTTGCAGAAATTCACAAACCACCAACTTTCCGAACAGCAGACGGGATTGCGGCGTCGCCACTGATACGAGCAGAATCCGCAGACTCCTGTCAATGAAACGATTCCTTTGTGCCACACATGGGTACTGCTGCCACTCATATACCAGTCACAGTGCAACACGCTGTGCATCCGCCCTACCAACTTATCAGCACATATCCAGCATCTGTTGTAACCATGAGTTAGATCCTTTGATTTTTGTAGCCTTATATTCCGATTGATTTCCTCTCACAGAGTTTGGTTTCATACTTACCAGTAAAGAATGATTTATTCCTTATTGCCCTCTAACGGCAGGTTTCGCACCACAGCTCACTATGGTAAGGCAAAGATTTCGTCGTATAATGTGTTCTTTTGATTTTTGCCTGTATACTTGATTCATATTTGGTGGTAGATTTCTTCAGTTCTCTTTGGGGTTTAAATGAACTTTGATGTAGACTGTGTCTGTGAAACAATCAGTGCAGAGAAATAAAAGATTCTGATGATTCATTCTGTACCATTATAGTTACACAAGTAGATTTAAAAAAAAATGTTGAAGACCATGTTTCAATGCTGAATGCATGGAGACATCTGTATGTGATGTAAGAAACCAAAATCCTGCTGTATTACGAATAAACCCATTTTCTGAATCAGCTGGGAGCGGGAACTAATAGGCTTCAATGTTACATACGTACAGCTTCTTCTTCTTTTGGCTGATTTCACAGCAGCTCATCTGCCTCCATTTCACCCTGGCATTTTCCTTTGTCACACCAGCTCTTCTCCACATCCATGAATCTTTGCTGTCTTTGTTTTGTTGTCATCCTCTCCCCCTTCCTCTTCACCCTCTACACCAGAGACTTCAGCCACAGCACAGAGACCTGCCATCTTCAGAAGTTTTCTGATGACTCTACAGTGGTTGGATGCATCAGCAGGGATGATGAGACAGAGTACCGGGCTGTGGTCGACTCCTTTGTCACGTGTTGTGAGCAGAATCATCTTCAGCTCAACGTGGCAAAGACCAAGGAATTGATCGTGGACTTTAGGAAGACCAGGAAACACTTGACCCCTGTTTCAATCCAGGGGGTCAATGCTGACATTGTGGAGGACTATAAATACCTCTGAGTATACACTGACAATAAACTGGGCTGGGCTAAAAACACCACAGAACTTTACAGGAAGGGCCAGAGTCGCCTCTATCTTTTGAACATCTGCCGGACAATGCTAAAGATTTTCTACGAGTCTGTTGTGTGTTGCATGATGGGGGAGCAGGCTGAGGGTCGCAGATGCCAACAGACTCAATAAACTGATCCATAAGGCCAGTAATATTGTGGGGATGGAGCTGGACTCCCTTAAGGTGGTGTCGGAGAGATGGATGTTGTCCAAAATAAAGACAGTGTTAGATAATACCTCCCACCCACTCCATGACATACTGATCAGCTACATGAGCACATTCAGTGAGAGACTGAGATTACCAAAAAGCACCACTGAATGACACAGGAAATCACGTCTGCCTGTGGCCATCTGCCTGTACAAATCATCCACTTAACACACTGTATACTGCAATAGCTACACCCTTTTTGCACGTGCTCTTTTTCTTATTCAGCTATTTATCAATAAGTGACTTATATGTATATATATATGCATGTATATATTGTGTCTATTTCTTACTTAGTGTATTGTCTGTCTTTGTTACTGTTTATACTGGAGCACTGTAACCAAAATAATTTCCCGTAGGTATCAATAACGTATTCTGATTCTGATTTTCTTCTCTGGCAGCTTCATAGTCAACATGCTTTGTCCAGTACATTCACAATCCCCGTCTCTGACTTTGTTTCCAAGCTGCTCAACCTGACCTGTCCCTCTGATGTTCCAATCCTGTCCATTATGGTCACTCCTAGTAAAAATCTTATCATCTCCAACTCAGCTTTCAGTCCTTTTCTCAGTATCACCGTCTGTAAACCGTACATGGCAGCAGGTCTCACTACCACCTTGTAAACTACTTCCTCTCTTGCTGCTATTCTTCTGTCACAAATCACCCCTGACAGTCGTCTCCACCCTACTCCACCCTGCCTGCACTCTCTTCTCATTCTGCACTCACCTGTCTTGTGCACTGTCCAATATCTTGGATTGCTGACCACAGGTATTTCAACTCCTCCACTTCACTGTTACACCTGCCTCTATGTCTACGTGACAAATGTCTTGCTGTGACAGGCTCCAACCAGGAGAGGACACTGTTCCACAATGATATCTGTTCACAAAACATATGAAATAATTCCTAAATCTGCAGTGAAAGGGGAAATATACTGTCATGTGAAAAAGGAAGTACAAAAACAAAGTGCACCTAATGAGTCCATTGTTTGTAGAGCCACCTTCAGCAGCCATAAGCTGAAGTAACTGTTTTCTGTAATCAGGGTCTCGTTTTGTCGTAGAGCAATTTCAGCCTTCTTCTTTTTTTTAATTTAAATTTTCAGTCCATTGAGGTTTGCAGGCATTCATTTATGCACCGCTCCCTTATTTTCAGGCATTCTGTTGTAGATTTATTGCTGTCCTTGCAATCATTGTCCTATTGTGTGATTTACATGTTAGACAGTCTCACTGGCCTCTAAAATACTTTGGTACACATGGGAGTTCATGGTGGACTCAATGACTGCAAAGTGTCCAAGTCCTGTGGCTGCAAAACAAGCCCAAATCATCACCCCTCCACCACTGTGCTTGACTCTTGGTATGAGGTGCTTGTGCTGATCCTGTGGTTTTTGCCAAACAGAGCACTGTGTATTATGCCCAAACATCTTCACTCCAAAGGGATGTTTGAGAGGTCTTGTGGTTTATTTAGATGCAACTTGATGCTAACCCGAGCCCTGCTGCCATGTTTATCCTAGCAACCTTTCCAAACAACCTCTCAGCCCGTGTCTAACTGTAGTTTCATGAATTTTAATATCTAACATGCTAGCTGAGTCTTGTAGAGTTTGAGACGTGGCTCTTGGGTTCCTTGCACCCACTTACCTTTCTGAACTTTTAACTATGCATATTCCTGAATAGGTCTTTAAGGTCAGCTGATCAAGGAAGCAGAGTAAAGCACAGGAGGAGACCATTTAAATGTGACTGCGTTTTGACACTTTTCTTTTTGTTGTATTTCTTCTATTTTTCTGTATTTTCCTGCTCTAGTTTACAGCACTCTGGTCAACCTATGTTGGTTTTAAATGTGCTTATAAGTAAATTGACTCAACTTGACTTGTCTGAACATTGCACAGTCTGACCTTGGGTTGAATTTGCTGCCAAACCTCCTGCTTTTACATGATGTGATCAGAGTGGCCAATAATCAAGAGTGTCTGATCGCTCTTATTTCCTACAGAAGAGTCCGGGGAAGCATTTCTTTTTCACATGACACATGAGGGAGTAAAGAGATTTAAATGTTTAACAGACTAGGTTTCATTGAATTTGCCAGTTTAGCAAAAGGAAGATAAAGACAAATATTGACATATGGAAAAAGTGCATATTTAGGAGCTGAACATTTTAGTGGTGTGTACAAAACAGTTTAATGCACTTTTTCATGGTTTGCATCAGGTGCAAAACGAGTCCATTTACTTTCACTACTCTCAGCTTTGCCCTGAAGCACCAACATACTTCAGTTACACTTCAGTAGCTTTCTGTGAGATTTTTCTTTGGTAAAACAGCCTGAGAGTAGAGTGTTAATTTGAGCATCAGGTTCCATTAAAGATGTTCAAGTCTTTTAATGTTTCTCTGAACTTCTGTTCCTAAGCAGGCAGCTTCTGTGAAGAGAAAAAGGAAAGAAATGCTTTTGATAATGATTCCTGTCATTGGTAAAACATTAACCATTTGTTTTTGAGTTTCCTTCTTACCTTTAGGCAGGGGGGGGGGGGGGGGGGGGGGGAGAGAGAGAGAGAGAGAGAGAGAGAGAGAGAGAGAGAGAGGTTATACATGTGAAGAAAAAACAAACTTGCATCAATCAGATTTATGCAATCAGTGTGTCAGTCTTTGTCTTCCACTGAAGTTATTTTGCATGGCAGTGTGTGCGTGACATGAACTGGAGGTTCAGGAAGAGCCAGTTTCCACAGAGCTGTTTAGCTCGCTCATCCACTGTAACTGGTACACGGTGTTTGTGTGAAGATAAACAAGATGACAACAGATATGTTTTTGCTTTTTGTTACAATACCTCACATTAGTTTGGTTTAAACGTGCAGTTTGACTTACTCCCCTGTACTGAAACTATTCAAGAACTGCCTTTGTTATACAAGCAAATAACAAACTTTGCAAGGAGTCCCAAGTACAACTGTAAAATCACGCAGGAGCAATGATATGATGCAGCAATAAAAAATTTTAAAAAAGCAATCGTACATTTTCAGACTTTGAGGAGGTCAAAGTCCTGTTATCAAGAAAACAGATGTAAGAAACATGCCATCAGATCATATGTGGAACATGCAAAGAAGCAGAGAACAAACTGAAGACGTCAATCTAAGCATTTGTTGTTTTCTGTAGCAAAGGAATATAATGGGAGGGAGTGACTTGCATGCGCTGACTGTAATAATAAAGCTATTTACACGCGCAGGAAAACAAGACGGAAGGGCTGAATTTTACGTGATTTAACGAATGATAAAAACAACAACACAAACTTGTTTGCCTGAATAATGTTGGGGGATTTACCCACTCAAAGTCTAGCTACATTTAATCACTTTACAAATTATGATAACAGATGCACGCACACACTATCAACAAAAAACGTTGTCTTCATGAAATATTCATCACATGTTGACAAACAGCAGGAAGAAAATGGCCCAGAACCACTATTGTGGCACACATTTGTTGCTATTTTATTGTCATTTTTAATTCACACCAATATTATTATTATTACTGAACTGTAGACAACAGAACTGTGGATCAATCGGCCTCACGTACAGAGAGGGAAACTGTTTTCTGAAGGCAACACGCGTTTTTAATACAGTTTCCAACTGGACATAGGAGCAAATGTGTGAACGCATTTTTCAAGTTGTTTTCGATGTTTCTACTGGCTTTCTTTTATGCTATTGTGTGTTGCGCGTTTTGCTCCCGCCCACAAAAATCAGTGCTAGAGGAAAACAGCCGCTCCCGCTACTGATTGGCTCCGCGGTGCGCTCCAATCACCGCGATGTAGTGACTCTTCTCCACACAAACCCGAGCGGTCGACTAGTAAGGTTGTGACAAATGTAGCGAAAACACAAACAGGTTTTGTTTGGTTTTGTTTTTCTAACTGGATGTACTCCTGTTCGTGAAGACTAGAACAAGTTGAAGCAGAGGATTAAGAAAACGACAGCCGAGTAGTGGTCTAAATGGTCAGACTCGGAAGCAACGAGGGGATTTGGGAAGATTCAAGGACACATTTCTTCTCTATAAATACGATGGTGATGTTTATTTGATTCGACGCCAGCCTGGAGATTTGAATAAGAATGAAGGTCCTTGTGAAGAAGGTGCAGCAGGCGCTCTACGTCCTGCTGCCGTGTGTACTCCAGCTCTGCTGCGCTCAGACTCAAGGAGGTGGGTATAAACACCCGCACACACGTTTATTTTTATCATTAGCCTGGGAGAGGAACGATGAATACCCCCTCTCACTTCCACCTTAGTTAGAGGTAATCACCTGTCCTCACAGACCTCATAT